TTACTCTCCTGATGATATCGTATAATTTCGTTTGTTCTCTTATCCATGTGCAGGTCTTTTTGTCTTGTCTTGTGATGCCGAGGATGTATCTTTCCATGGTTCTTTGTGCCACTTGTAACTTTTGTATTGATTGCGAGGTTAGTGTCCATGTTTCATACCCGTGTATATACAAAAGCTGAAAGAAGCCCTTTACATAAATGAAATGAATGTGACATATGATATCAGAAGCTTTCTCACAGTCTCAGTCATCACTCTGAGATATACTAGGAACTGGAATTTTAGCTTTGTTTATGGAAGTAGCTCCTCAAACTTTTCTGATTCTTAAGAGTTAAGCTGTGGGGGGATATTTTTTAGAAAGCTATTTTGAATGAACTTCTTGACCACTTTCTCAACCTTGATAAGTTTAAAATGGATGGACTTCAGCTCCCAGAGCTTTAAACAGAGGTCCACAGGCACTTATCTTTTACTGATGGATCTAATGGTATTTTCCCAGTCAAGCTACCAAACTGGAGCTCAAGACTCAAATTTAGTAGTGGGATTCAGCCGGTTTGCACCACTTCGGTAGAACCAGTAGCTAACTTTTTGTTGCCCAGGCCCAGAATGGACTTCTGGAAGCGGCATTCATACATTGTTCACATATTTGAATCCCACCATTGCTCAAATTGTTTGGGTATTGTCTGAGAATATGCTGCAACCAGATCATGTGCAGAAAAACAGGAGAACCCCTAACCTCTTTGGGAAGAATCTGCAATCTCTGTTATACTGTTGACACCAAAATTGTTATCCACCTAAACTAAAGGATTGAAACTATGAAACAAAAAGATCTCTAGTGTTACCTGAATAAAAGATCTTGTTCTAAACTTTCTACCCCAGGCGTATTAGCACTGACCAAGCTTCCTGAACTCTAATCCTAGCAGCAGCAACAGCAAAATAATAATCGTCACTGCTGTTTTAGACATGGTATAGGTAGTCCTCAATTTATGACCCAACACAGAGATCATTTGAAGTCGTGAAACACCTCGAAAAAGGTATTTATGACTTAGTTTCAAAGTTTCAATGGCCTGGACTGTTCTGCCACAATCATGTGATTGGCTTTTGGGCACTCAACAATTAGTCCATGTGTACAGCCCTTTGTAGTGTCCCATGGTCATGTGACCATGTTTTATTGTGTTTTTACTAAAAAAAAAAGCAGTGTTTACCTCCAGTTTTTGACAAAAATGCCCCATAGTGAACAATGGGTTCACACTGTTTGCGTAGCAACTGCAATGGCTTTACCACTGTCATGTTTACTTAATGACTGCTGCAAAAAAGATTGTAGAATTGGATAACATTGTTAAATAGGACAACATAAAAATTGTGCAAGGTTTTAGGTAAGCGACACATTAAAGAATATGCCATGGAATAATATAAAGGAAAACAACACTGCAGAGCAGATGATAATGGTTTTTCAGATTGCTTTCGTTGGCAGCATTCGGATAGACTGGTAATAAAATTGACTATGAAAAAATAATCTAATTCCATATATAGAAGCATTGAAATCCAGACAATAAGTACACACTGACTTTTTAAATTCAGAATCTTTAAAATATTGGGCTAACCACACATTGAAATAGACCATGTATTCAATCACCAATTCTTTGAATTAAAACTCCCATTTAGGCCTTTTATCTATACTTGCTGTAACGTTTCTGAAATACTCAGGCTTCTAATTTGAGATTTCAGGAAATGGTGCACTCCCCTGTTTTTCATTGTTGTTTTCTTATCACTCTTTTCCAACATTCTTAATTTTTAACTAGAGACGAGAGGCTTTGCCCACATAATTAAGAGGAAGTAACCCATCCCCACTATTTTTATTTCATTAAACATAGTTACAAAACTTCCTTCATTTTGTCATCTGCACTTAAAGACAATCTGAAAATGTAGAAGTTTCCAAGCAATAAACTTTGTGGACTTTACCAAACCTGAAACCTTCTGAAATCAAGAACATCCGGAAATAAGAAAAGGGGGGAAAGAGGCTATGATTTTTAAAAAAAAAAAACTCAACATTTTACCTCAAAATAATATTGTGAGAAACAATAAAAATGGATTTTGTTGCTGTGCTAATTCAAAACAGAGGGAAAATCAGAAAAATCTTGAGATTCCAGCTTTCTTATGTCACAATATACACAATCATACACACATAGAAAAGGAAGGAAGCTCCAAAAGAATTCTCTAAGTGGCAGCAAGGGGAATACTATGCTTTTGCTTCTGTGATGAGAGCATAAAAGAAGGAGACTACAATAATAAACCTCCCTAAGGATACATTTAAAATAAAAAAAATGTACACAATAAATCTCTCTCAAGAGGTTTTATCAGGATTTGCAAGTTTAGAAAGTTTCACACTTTGCAGTTTTAAAAAACGAGGGTTTTTTTGGTCCCCGGGGAAGGAAATTCCTAATGCCGGGGTCAGGGATTTCTGTGCTCAGAAGGTGAAAATTTTTTTTAGACCAAAACATAAAAACGGAGGCCAGAATGAGATTTGGGATTAAATTAAATCCTTAAAAATGGTGCTTTTTCTAGTTTTTAAAAATTGAGCCGTTTTGGTGTCCAGGGAAGGAAATTCATGATGCGGGGGTCAGGGATTTCTGTGCTTAGGTGATTTTTTTTTCTTCACCCAAATGTAAAAATCGGCGCCAGAATGAGATTCGTGCTTAAATTTCATGCTTAAAAATGGTGCTTTTTCTACTTTTTAAAAGTTGAGCCGTTTTCGTGTCTGGGGAAGGAAATTCCTGATGCTGGGTTCAGGGATTTTTGTTCTCAGGTGAAAAATTTTTTTTGACCCAAATGTAAAAACGGATGTCAGAATGAGATTTGGAGTTAAAATTCATGCTTAAAAATGGTGCTTTTTCTAGTTTTTAAAAATTGAGCCATTACGGTGTCTGGGGAAGAAAATTCCTTTTTAAAACTTTGCAGTTTTAAAAAACAAGGGTTTTTTGGTCTCCGGGAAAGGAAATTCCTGATGCCGGGGTCAGGGATTTCTGTGCTCAGGAGGTGAAAATTATTTTTTGACCCAAATGTATAAACGGACGTCAGAATAAGATTCGTTGTTAAATTTCATGCTTAAAAATGGTGCTTTTAATAGTTTTTAAAAATTGAGCCATTTTGGTGTCTGGGGAAGGAAATTTCTGATGCCGGGGTCAGGGATTTTTGTGCTCAGGAGGTGAAAAATTTTTTTGGACCCAAATGTAAAAACAGATGTCAGAATGAGATTTGTTGTTAAATTTCATGCTTAAAAATTGTGCTTTTAATAGTTTTTAAAAATTGACCCGTTTTGGTGTCCGGGGAAGGAAATTACTGATGGTCAGGGATTTTTGAGCTTAGGAGGTGAAATTTTTTTCTCCACCCAAATGTAAAAAATGACGTCAGAACAAGATTCGGCTTAAATTTCATGCTTAAAAATGGTGCTTTTAATAGTTTTTAAAAATTGAGCCGTTTTGGTGTTCGGGGAAGGAGATTCCTGATGCCGGGGTCAGGGATTTTTGTGCTCAGGAGGTGAATTTTTTTTTTTTGACCCAAATGTAATAACAGACATCTTAATGAGATTCGGGTTTAAATTTCATGCTTAAAAATGGTGCTTTTAATAGTTTTTAAAAATTGAGCTGTTTTGGTGTCTGGGGAAGGAAATTACTGATGCCGGGGTCAGGGATTTTTGTGCTCAGGAGGTGAATTTTTTTTTTTTTTGACCCAAATGTAATAACAGACATCTTAATGAGATTCGGGTTTAAATTTCATGCTTAAAAATGGTGCTTTTAATAGTTTTTAAAAATTGAGCTGTTTTGGTGTCTGGAGAAGGAAATTACTGATGCCGGGGTCAGGGATTTTTGAGCTCAGGAGGTGAAATTTCCCCCCCATCCAAATGTAAAAAAGGACATCAGAACAAGATTCGGGCTTAAATTTCATGCTTAAAAATGGTGCTTTTAATAGTTTTTAAAAATTGAGCCGTTTTGGTGTTCGGGGAAGGAGATTCCTGATGCCAGCGGGGTCAGGGATTTTTGTGCTCAGAAGGTGAAATTTTTTTTTGACCCAAATTTATAAACGGACGTCAGAATAAGATTCGTTGTTAAATTTCATGCTTAAAAATGGTGCTTTTTATACTTTTTAAAAATTGAGCCGTTTTGGTGTCTTGGGAAGGAAAATTCCTGATGGTCAGGGAGTTTTGTGCTCAGGAGGTGAATTTTTTTTTTGAACCAAATGTAAAAACAGATGTTAGAATGAGATTCAGAGTTAAATTTCATGCTTAAAAATGATGCTTTTAATAGTTTTTAAAAATTGAGCCATTTTGGTGTCCGGGGAAGGAAATTCCTGATGCCGGGGTCAGGAGGTGAAATTTTTTTTTGACCCAAATGTAATGGCTGCATTAACAGAGAGATAGCATCAAGATCACATGAAATTTAATACCACTCTATAAAGCCTTGGTAAGGTCACACTTGGAATACTGCATCCAGTTTTGGTTGCCACAGTGTAAAAAAAATGTTGAGACTTTAGAAAGTGTGCAGAGAAGAGCAATAAACATGACTAGGGGTCTGGAGGCTAAAACATGTGAAGAATTGTTGCAGGAATTGGATATGAATGCACCATTGGGAGTGCATCATTAAGAGAGACCAGGTTAGGGTCAGAATATCATGGAGAAAATCTATATAAGAATTCAAAATGACTTGATGACACATAATCTACCCCCACCCCCTTTTTGTAAAGTGACATCAGATCTCTTTAAGACCATTGTTCTGTGTTTTACAATGCTCCTCCTATAGTCCATACGTTTGGCTTAAGGAACATTTATACATGTTTCACAACTTTCCAGTGCAGCAAAAATGTCTCTTTCTTTGGAACTTGGGGCAATGAGGGGTTTAATGAGCCTCAACAGATGATCTGGTCTACTCATTTGGGCCCTTGGAGACTCCCCATCTGGATTTCCCAATATGAAACTGACTTTTTAAAAAGAAACATACATGAAACATAAAGAACTGTAAAATATATTTATTTGTGCCATTTCCTCATCTGAATGGTGCTTGTGTGTGCATGCAGTGCATAGAGAATGAGAAATTGAATGTTTAGATATAAGTATTGGGTACTGGCACACATACACATTTACATACATATATACACACACATTCCTAGAGCATACTGACTTGAAATACACTCTTAAGGTACAGCTAGTACTTGATCTACAACCAGTTGCTTAACAACCGTTTGAAGTTACAACAGATTTGAAAAAAAAAATATTTGTGACCTGTCCTTGAGGCTGTCAAATCAGCCAAGTGGTCATATGATTATAGTCTGGGCCTTGGCAACCAGCTTGCATTTATAGCATCTTGTGGTCATCTGATTGAATTTTGCAACATTTTCTTGCCATTTTTTTCGTCAAAACCTAGCAAAAAAATGTCCATTTGATAAAATGGATTTTGCATTTACAACCATGTGGTTCGCTTAATGGCAACATGATTTACTTAATGACCCTGGTGACTTGTTTAACAACTGTCATAAAAACAATCATGAAAACTAATTTCAGTCACATAATGCCTCAACTTATGACTGTAACAACTGAAATTTCAGTTCCAATTGTAATCTTAAATCAAGGATTACCTGTATGCATATAGCCCAAAAATATTATACAGCAAACGCCACATGCCTTTTTTATTTACTTCACAAAACATTCCCCAGGAGATCATTTGAACTGATAAATAACTTAAATTCTTCCATCTTAAGCAGCCTCTTCAGCGGAACAGTCAATGCCTGCATAGGTGAACTTCTCATATAAAGTTGTATTCACATAAGTCTGGAAATACAATTGCAAAGAATAAGCTTAATATATTTTACTTGTTCATAGCAGCTGATGCAATTTTTTTATTTTTAATTAATTTATCAATCATTTTTAGAAGAGGAAAAAAGAGAATGAATGGGCAAAATGAGCAAAGAAAAAAAATGATGCAGAAATATGCCATCAGCAAGTGGACAAAACAGTTATCTAGTCAGTACAGTTAGTGGTCATTATATTGTTGACAAGAAATCAATCATTAAAGAAATTATTTTAACATTAGAAATGATTTATATCTCTGAGCTAAGTCCCCACTGTTTGATGATGAAAATTCTCATAGTTGCCCTGGGTCTAAGATTTCTTACTTTAATCCCCACTAAAGCAAGAAACTGTGTTGCTGAACCTCTGCTATTTTCCTTCTCTTAGAAAAAAACATACTTGTCCCAAAGATTTTTTCAGCTATGTTATTTTTAGGTCAGGATGAAGTGGCATGGTGGCCTGGAGGTAGAGCTCTCGCCTCACAATCAGGAGGGTGTGAGTTCAATCCTAGGTATCAGCAGATATTTCTCTCTCTGGGTGCAAAGAGAAAATATCTGCTGTGAGTTCTCTGCATAGGTGTCAGGAAGGGCATCTGGCCAGTAAGCACTCAGCTCCATTTAGTCATTCCGACTCCACCTCCAAGGGATTACAGCAGGGGTCCCCAACCGGTGGACCGGTACCGGTACTGGGCCGCAACATGCCAGAAACTGGTCCGCACAAACAAGTAAAGCCCCATCCTCGGGATGTAGGCAGTACATGAAACCATGCCCCCTCCGGTCTGCAGAAAAACCTCTCTCCACGGAACTGGTCCCTGGTGTTCAAAAGGTTGAGGACCTCTGGATTACAGGATTGTTAAAAGAAAAAAAAAATCTCAAATCAGGATATGACTGAACATGTGAATGTGGACTGTTTAGACCAGGACATCTGAAATTGTCTTTAGAATTTTGTGATATTCTAGCCTTGGAATGTTTTCTGTCAATCACAAAATGCATGAGGGATTTTCACAGTAATACTGTGATTTCCAACAATGTTGTGACATAAGGCATCCATTTTACTACCCATATGACATAGAAGTTAGTTTCAGGGCAATCATTTAAATGGGAAATGTAACTGGGATGTAAGAAATCATTGTTTCTTCTTACCTTCCTTTCTTCTAACATCCTGCTCAAGGAAACGAGTATCTGGGCAAATGATGGCCTTTCATAAGGTTTTTCTCTCCAGCATTGCCTCATTAAATCATAACTGAGGGGAAAAAAGCAGAATAAAATATCAGCCAGAACAGCATAAATTTTGTATGGATAATAACTACCTGATGCTTAAAAATAGGACTATTAAATGACAGAGATGGTCTGTGGCAAAACAGACTATCAATTCCTTCCCAATATTATTGTTATTATGGTCCCATTTTTTGATGGCCCCAAGCTAAGTACAGATGGTAAATGGAGCCTCTACTGGATGTTTTCCTTGAAAACTTTGGGAAATGCATAGGACATGGTGGCGAACCTATGGCACGAGTGCCAGAGGTGGCACGCAGAGCCCTCTTTGTGGGCACGCGTGCCATCACCCCAGTCCTAGGCCTTCAGCTGGGTTTTATAAAACCTTTTCGCTTTAGGCCTCTGCCATCATGTACAAAAAAAAAAGGTTCAATCAATCAGTCAATTTCAACTTCTCACGGAAAAAAAAAGAATCTTGCAAAGTTGGATTTGATTGATTGAACTTGTTAGTCCCAGTCTGCCGTTACCACAGCAACCATGCCCAGCCAATGGGTCACACCCAGCCAATGGGCCACACCCAGCCAATGGGCCATACCCACCCGGCACCCGACGATGCATAAGTGGGTTTTGGGTTGCAGTTTGGGCACTCGGTCTCTAAAAGGTTCACCATCACTGGCATAGGAGAACAGCTCCCATTAGTTTCAGTCTGAACTAAAGACAAAGAGTATCTCATATGGTGAGTATGGTGCCTTATGTTTTTATGCCGACCTAGACAAGCATTTTAGAGAAAGGCGATGCACCTTCCAATCTTTTTTCCTGACACTATTTATTTTCTCTGTTTCTCCACTCCCATCCAAAATATTTTTCTGGAGTTTTTTCCCAATGAATTTGTTTTCCTAGTATTGTAAAGCTATACATTTCCCCATGTAGGAAAATCTATATTTGGGGGTCATTTAAAAGCAATAGAACAGCATTTCTCAACGTTCGTGTGACGGCGACCCCCGTCACACGAACGTGCTGCGCATGCGCGGCGCGGCACGCATGCGCGGCACTGCCCCCTGAGGGGGGAAAAGGGCGGATCGCATTGTTTGGCGACCCCCGTAAAATGGTCGATCGACCCCAAATGGGGTCGCGACCCATAGGTTGAGAACCGCTGCAATAGAAACTATTTTAAAGCATGTATCTCCCCTCCTCCTGCCCCCTCTTCACATTTGATTGAGGTATGGGGATTTTCAGGCAGGGAATCAATTGCTTTTTCAGCACTGGTTATTTGCTCTATAAAACTCACATAACACATCATCATTAACTACTTGTTACAGAAGCCAAGAAGGTTAGGTCAGTGCAACAATCCCTTGGTAAATACACACTGGGAGATGACTCTGAGTACAAGCCATGTTCCTAAAGCAAATCTGACAAGATAGAAAGCAAAATTTGTGATTACTACTCTGCTAGAGATGATCAAGAAATTAAAACAAAAAGTTTTCACTTTGAGCAAAAAGTACCTTTATGGACCAAGCTCGTTTTCAAAATGTCATGCATTTTGAATGCAACAGAATTCATAACTGCTACATAAAACATTTCAAGCATTCTAACAGCAGGAACAATGGGAATGCAAAACTAAACCCCCACTTCTAGGTAGGAATGTCCTTGGGAGACAGGAGGAAGAGCTATAGACTGGCCAATCAGCATGTAAAAGATTTCTTCAGGAGGGACCCTCCCTAGTTTTCTGGAGAGTAAAAGGAAAGGAGAACATATTTCCAGACTTGCAAAATTCTGTTGAAACCATACAATAATGACAGAGGAAACGTTCATAGTTGCGTTTCTTGTATGGATTACCTCGAAGGGCTAACAGAAACAAAGACCAAAGCCTGCCCAGTATGTTGTTTATCCTGCTCTACCCTTTTTTCCCCATGGAATATGAGTTCCAACCATAAGACACAATCAATCAATCAATCAATCCCAAAGGTGCTTTTTCAAGAGGCAACTGGACTTTCTTGTTTTTCTTTGAAGATGTTTTGCTTCCCATCCAAGAAGCTTCTGCAGTTCTGACTGGATGGTGGGGTATGGAAGGATTTCTATTCCTTGCAGACAGCTGGTCATTTGCATTCTTTTAGAGAGGCCACTTGGAGGTTTGTCTGTATCCTCAGGGTCACCTGAGTAGTGCAATGGGTGTCCACATCATCCAGTCAGAGCTGAAGAAGCTTCTTGGATGAGAAGCTAAACGTCTTCAAAGAAAAACAAGGAAGTCCAGTTGCCTCTTGAATAAGCACCTTTGGGACAACCATGGCTTGGATGACTGAGAATCTCCATTAACAATCAATCAATCAATCAATAGGAATTATGTTGAAATGGGACACATTGTACCAAAAAATTAAGTCAAAGTCTATGTGATTATCCATATCCATTATCCTTATCCATTCCTACATTCTTTTGTGATGTTACACATTTTCTTTTTCTTGCAAACTAAATCTATGGTTGATTTTCTTTTCTTTCTCGAAGCAAATTTACTTACTATTTTGAGTTCATTTTTGCAATTTGCATCTCACCTCTTGGCCCATATGGCACTCAAGACAACTTTCAGTATAGCAAGAACCAAGAGACTTACACCTCATCATCACAGTTGAGTGGCTTCTCCAGTCTGTACCCTTGGGGCAATTTTTCATAGAGCTCTGCGCAGGTCATCCCGCAGTATGGTGTTCCACCTAAAGAGGAAAATTATTATTTTTTTCTGTTTCCCTTTTTTAGGGGCGGAGGGGTTTGTTTGCACTGTTCCAGATGTTACTAGGTTGATATCTGCCTTCTAAAAACGAGACAAATAAGATATCATCAGCAAGGCTGGGCACATAATTCTCTAGATCAGATCTGCAAAACTGGTCCATCAGCCTCAGATATCAGAATTTCATCACTTTCCCACTTTTGCTCCATTCCTCAGGTTACCAAAAATTGCAAAACTACGAACTATCCAGCTGGGGATGAAACATAGTTTATGTCTGATTTAGTGGAAACAACTGCTTGAAGTTTTATATAGGGCAGAAACATTTGACTTGACTTCTGTTTACTGTTAAATAAGCTCACAGACACCCCTCAAGATTCAAAGATCCCAGTTTTGCCTGCTTTTAACAATCATCTGTTAGCATTTCTGAATTGTTAAAAACAGAGGAAGCTAATACCATCTTATTTTTTTTAATTTGGACAAATGTGCACATGTGGATACACAAAGGAGCAAAAAGCTTCCTTTTTAATGTGTGCGTTCTTGAACCCATTCTCCCTCGTCTAATCTGTTAGCTCAACCCAACTACCCAGCCCAATTTGCTTGGCAAACCACAACTGGAATGTGAGTGTCCAGAAGTAAACCGCAATCCAGATGTGCAGTTTTCAAATGTAAAAAGTCATTAAAAAGTCTATGAATAGAACTCCTGGCATCCTGCCCTCTTTTGATATTGGATCTCAAGCATTTTTTGACCATGAACATAGCTATTATTGTGAACATACTACACGGTAATCTATCATAAATACTGTATACCGTACTTGTGTGTTTATGAGTGCATATATGCACTTGAAATAAAAAACTGAACAAACAACAAGATAAAAACCAAATATATCCAACAAATAAAATGATGCACACCAAGGCATATATGATTCCTATATCCAGATGCTAATATTAGAAAAAAATAATAATTTGGCCTTCTGTTTATTCGCTTCTTTGTTAAGCAAGCTGCTTGCTAGGATGATGTTCTGGATAGAATCAATATAATAAAAGCACAACAAACTCTCAGAATATATCAATTCAAAGTGCGGTGGTGGCAAAAATAAGTGATTTTCAGATTAGGGAAGAGAGTGAACAGGTCAAAGTAACACACCTAGAAGTATTTTAAAAATTATGCATCTAGATCAGTGGTTCTCAACCTTTCTAATGCCGTGACCCCATAATATAGTTCCCCATGTTGTGGTGACCCCCAACCACTTATACATCACCGGGTGCCAGGGGCGTGGCCAAAGAAAAGGGGAAAAAAATGGCAGACAGCCTTGTTTGGCAACCCCCGTGAAATGGTTGTTCGACCCCAAATGGGGTCCCAACCCACAGGTTGAGACCACTGATCTAGATTCTGTCAATCCTGTACTATAAACATGTATCATAGGAAATGATGACCAAAATTATTCGCAGCATCTTCTCCATCAGGATACATAAAATTATTTAGGGTTTTTTAGTGCAGAAAAAAGGTCAGAAAAATGGAGATGTGACAACAAATCATGCTTTGCTAATCTACAAGTTGTCCCACAATTGACTGGTTTTATACCAGTGCTTTGAAACTTGACAACTTTAAGATATGTGGGCTTCAACTCCCAACTCAACAGTTGAAGTCCACATATCTTAAAGTTGTCAAGTTTCAAATACCTAAAAAAAAAAAATTGGAGTAGGATCTCTACCGCTGCCCCCCCAGCCTCCGAGAATGGACCTCATACAATATATCCTATGGCTTCCCAAACTTAATTTCTAGGGCTAACAGATTGCAGCCTAAATTGCTTTAAATGGGACAGAAAAAAAAAAATCTTTGAAGACAAGATATTTCTGAACGCAGTATAATAGTAGGAACAAACAGTAAGAGTATATAGACTAGACCTGCTTGGAATTTCAAGGACAAATCACATTGGAGTAGCTCAAAGGACTGGCTATACTATATCTATCCTATGGTTTTATGTTTTTTTATAAAAATCAAAACTCTAAGGAAAGGAAACTTACCCAAGCTAACTATTTCCCATAACAGCACACCATATGACCAACTGCAAATAAAACAAAAGAAAATAACAGCTTAGCATTGGTTCCATTGAAAGGAATGTATATTATAAAAATGTATTCGTATAGAAGCAAATATTAAATTGCTATCAGATGTAATCTTCCTTTTTTGCTTCATTTGTTAATTCTTTCTCTCTCAAGCATGTACAAGGAGGCAGAGCTTTGACTGCAACCCTATAACCACCTTCTTGATTATTTTGATTCCCACTGTGGACACCACTAAGTTGAAGACAATATACATGGGGAATGGATCTCCTTTAGTTTTGCAAAGCTGTAACCCTCTGAAGTCCTCTAGGCAGAGAAAGAGTTTTCCAAGTCACACAATGAACTGCAAGGCCAAATGGAGATTTGCACCTGGGTCCAAGTTTGTTTCTTAATGATTCCATTACAAATTTTCTCCAAGTTTTCTTCCCTGAATAAAGAAATTTTAAAATTATCTAAACATAAAAACTCACACATCACTGTTTGTGGTATACACACTGTAGTTTAAAGATTCAATTGCCATCCATCGCACCGGAAGCCTTCCCTAGAACAACAAAATTAACGTGCTATGATAGGTGTTTCCTTAAGCACAGGATCACTTATAACAAGAATAGTTTATTAGGCATCCTACATTCTTGCCAACTACATTCATATTACAAGGACACTGATGTCTGGACAATTATCTGTACCCATCTTATAGCTAAGAGGACAATCCTTCAACATTGGAAAAATAACTTTGATTGAAGACTTGATATTACTTGCAAATTAAAGTTGCTACGGACATAGATCAGTATAGATAATACCAATGAAACATAGCCATCCTTTTTTGAAACTGTTGTGTATGATTTTATATACGTGCATAATAAGCCTATATAATGTAATATATAATTTTATTGTTGTGCTGTTTTTATTATATATTTTCTCTTTTTTTATTAAATAAGCAAAGGGGAAAAAACTAGAATGGTTTCCTTAGCCTTTTTAAAAGAGGATACACCTGTTGTATGCACACTATTGATTTTATTCATTCATGCCACTTTTAATCTGCATATTCATGGTTAAAAACAACTTTATAATGAGGATATTATCTCTTTCCTATTGTAAACAGGATCCAGGTGTGCAGTCACAGTATCACTCATCAAACTTGTAGGGCATCCACAGGATAAGCGACAAAAGCCATCCAGAGTCCCACTACATGTGTATGTGTGCCACAGGTAGAAAAAGGGGCAGAGCATTGACTGTGCCCTAATGACCACCATATTGATTTTTTTTTGACTCCTGCAGTTGTCCCTGCATCCCATTTTCACTTCTGTATAAAGTTAATTATAAACTCTTCATCCTTGTCCTTTAAACATCAAGTCATCTAAATTTTCAATAGCAAAAAATGGATTAATATCTAATTTTCTTATGATATCAATAAAATTTCCAAATAAGCGAAAACTAATCTTTTGAATAATAGTACTTACAGACAGAACGGAAGTACTTTTATTCAGATGATTAGATTTCGTTTGTTTGGAAATTTCAAATTTCATCTTCTGAATACTACCGGTAATACTTCCGTTCTGTCTGTTCCTTCCTGAACAGGTATTCTTTGCAAGAAAAATGATGAAAGAAGTGGATAAAAGATGGGAGGGGACAAAGCCAGTTCACTCAATAATTCCAGAAGTGAATTATTCTAATTTTCTAGCCTGGATGGTTTTACTCGGATATAGATTTAATCTAGGAAGCCTTAGCAAAATCTTTGTCCTGAAGACAATCTTCATTTTAAAAAAAATAACATTGAGACAACTGTATCCTTCTGCATGAATAACACAATGAACATGTTTTTCTTTGCTTACCATGGTCTTTTTAACATAAACTTCTTGACCTCTAGATAAACCAAAGTCAGCTATTTTTGCGACGTAATTTTCACCGACCAAAATGTTTCTTGCTGCCAGATCCCGATGGATAAACTAAAGAGAGAAAAGATTCTCATTGTAAATTTGAATCTTATACCTAGTAAAATCTTTTGTGTGTGAAAGCCACCAGAGGAATACGCAAGATTTGTTTTCTATTGGGGCAGGAGCAACAACTTATTGTTCATATTTTTACACGATATATACCAGCATTGATCCAAAAAATATCAAGGGTAAGGAGTGGTGTGATCCAGTTCAAATTAACCCCAGCCTATTTCAAGGGCTTTGGGGAGAGGTTCAGTAAATCACACAAACATCCATACTTTCAAGTGGGGAAAGAAAAAAAAGTTCACCTGTTTTTGGCTCAGGTAATCCATCCCTCTGGCCACATCAGCTGCAAAGTGCAGGAGTTGCTGAGAGGAAAGAGTGGAGGCTGTACTATTAGCTATGGCAAATGCCGGATCGGTCTCAAGAACACGGCTTTTTCTCAAAAAATCAAGTAAATTTCCATGGGGTGCATATTCAATAGCAAGGTAAAGATAGCCTGGTATTTAAAAACAAAAACAAATATTTTACACCGACTGTCCTTGATTTACAACAGCTCATTTAGTGACCAAAGTTACAACAGCACTGAAAAAAGTCACTTATGAATGTTTTTCACACATGTGACCTTTGTAGCATCCCCATGATCATGTGATCAAAATTCAGGTGCTTGGCAACTCGTTCAGGTTTACGACTGTTCCTATGTCCCATGGATATGTGATCACCTTTTGCAATCTTTTGACAAGCAAATTCAATGGGGAAACCTGCAGTTAACAACCATGTTACTAACTTAACAGTGATTCACTTAACAGCTGTGGCAAGAAAGGTCGTCAAATGGGGCAAAACCCACTTAACAAATGTCTCATTTAACAACAGAAATTTTGGGCTCAGTTGTGGTTGTAAGTCAAGGACTACCTGTAATTGCATAACATGAATGCATAATGATTTTTTTTTCCAACATGAGAGATCCGGTGGGATGAGTTTCCAAAATAATGTTTTTCAAACTTGGCAGATTTGAGATGTGTGGACTTCAACTCCCAAAATTCTCCAGCCAGTATATTGGCTGGGAAATTCTGGAAGTTGAACTCCACACATCTTAAAGATGCCAACTTTGAAAATCATTGTTCTAGAAACATTTATTCACTCAGATCAGTCGTCTGGTCTCTTACCCAGGCTGCCAAACATTGTTGAATAATACCCATCTTTCCTTGAGCAAATTCTTCTTATGGGCCTCTCACCCAGATCTCCCAAATTTTTACATGGTAGTATAAATTACCGTGATGTTCCTAAGCTAATAGTTCTGTTAGAGAAGGGGGTAGGATTAGTCTAGATTTCATTGTCCAAGTTTTGGGGAGAGATACCTGGACATACACAGTAAGAAAATGAACTTGCCATGAATGTTTTCATGCAATATAGCTATCAGTGCAAACAACATTATTTTACTAAACATGATTTTAAAGAAATCCACTGAAAAGAAATGTACCTCGATGTTCACAGGCTCCTAAAAGATTTATGATGTTAGGATGATGTCCAAGTTTACAAAGTACTTCCAGTTCTCCAGCGAAATCTCTGTGATCATCTTTGGAAGCATATTCTGCAAATAATTATTGTTCGTTTTTATTGGCTTTAGCCATTAATCTCTACAGCACATAACTAATTCATATTATGAATAGCATCTGTTTTTTGATTATGTCCAATAATAGATGTAGTAAAAATTAAAAAAATAAAGACAATATTCAATAGTCATAAGCACATTGGTATGCTTGTTTTCTGTTTTGTAAGCTGCTGAATGAGTTTCTGCAATACAGCAGTCAATACCTAGTAAAAATAGTAAAAATATAAAAGACAAAAATATTCAATGGGGAATAGACCTTAGTGGTTGCTCGTTATTTCAGCTTTAAATATTAACACTGTCATGTGTGTATGTCACTCCTTATCTTTATGTCCCAGGCCGCTTTGGGAAGGAGGGGACAGATGAATAGGTGCAAGATGTATGATTTCTTGTGCTACAGAAATCATTGATTTTGGACTAGAACAATGGTTCTCAACCTGTGGGTCGGGATCCCATTTGGAGTCGAACGACCATTTCACGGGGGTCACCAAACAAGTCTGTCCGCCATTTTTCCCCCCTTTTCTTTGGCCACGCCCCTGGCACCTGGTGATGTATAAGTGGTTGGGGGTCACCACAACATGGGGAACTGTATTATGGGGTCGCGGCATTAGAAAGGTTGAGAACCACTGGACTAGAAGATCTTAAGAAAGTACCACTTAAACCTGCCTAGGTATACAGTATACAACACCAACTAAAGAATTGGTAGCTGTATTTTCACATGTTTATGCATATAATAGTCATTTTAAATGGAACACAAGGTTGTTTCAATGCCTGAAATTCCTCCTTAAGGCATCACCATAAGGCACTTTTTTTTTGCCTTGTTGTGATTCCAGCATGCTGAACAACTTGCAACCACAGTTGGTAAGCGTTTGCATTTGATGTGTGCCTTGATTAACAAACTGAGGTTAAAAACAAACCATAGTTTGTGCGAAGTGTGAGCCTAGCCTATGCTTTGGGTTACTTTTGGAGTCTATCAAGGAAAAAGCACTGATAGCAAACCTCAATTTAAAAAACAAACAACAAATTCAGTAAGAATTCTCTTTCTGCCTTTCAAACAAAGCACCCTTTTCTTTCTTTTAAAGAACTTTTCGGCTCCCTTTATATGATTTTGAACATAATAGGATTCTTTCTTAAATACACATTCAAATCATAGTCTAATCCCACATCAGACAGATAAAAACCAACAGATGCATTCCCAGAGATTTGCTGTCTATACGTTCCTTCTTGCTCTGAGATGGATGCTCACCCTTCATCCTTTTGATAGCTGCATCCATTCGCAGCCCGTCTTTTTTAATTCGGGCTTTCAGAACTTGGCCAAAGTTGCCTTCTCCAATCACATCTTGAAATTTGATGTCGTTCCATTCCAAAACCGGGTATATTGTAGGCTCAGTGCTATTTTTGGCTTTCCGGCTTAGAGTAAGAGTTCCTGAATTGAACTGTACAGCTGGTTCATCCCTCTGAGTAAAAAAATCAAGCAAGCATCATGTGATAAATTGCCAAAGGATTGCTTAAAGCCACATTAATTGAACTTCTTGGGCGATACGTTTTATGTCTAGGATTTTTTTAAAGTCTTTTTTTAAAAGAAAGATTTTCAAAAGCAGGATAGAGTCTGTATTTCGTATTAACTGATTTCCCTTGCTTTCAAGCACACTTAAAATTCAGACTTCCCTGATACTGTGTTGTTGGCCGTGTTATATACAGCTGGCATCAGTGCCTGCCAGCCAGTACAAGCTATGCTATCTTAGTATCCAATAGGAAGAACAGAAATGGAATTGAAATAAAACCTCCATGGAACTCTCAGTTAGAGAGAAGGGTCTTTGTTAAACTAAGGGGAATATGCACAGAGAGTCTTTACATTACAACGGATCTTATAGAATACAGAATAACAGAGCTGGAAATGACCTTGGAGGTCATCTAGTACAACCCTCTGCTCAAGCAGGAAACCTTATACCATTGCAGACAAATGGATGTCCAATCTCTTTTTTGAAAAAAGGCTCAAACTATTTATCCCAACAACAAGAGCACCATGATTTAACCTCCTTCCCTAAGGAGGGGAACTTGGCCATCTCTTTGCTTCAAGTAAACATGCATCTCTTTCTAGCATAAGTGACTCACCACCACATTTTGGAAAGCCTGGGCCATGCGCTGCTGGAAATTTGCTCGCTTCAACTGTAACATAATGAAAAAGGCCAGCAGTATTGTCAGGCAAGTCATCCCTGCAGAGCCCAGGATAGCAATCAGCAACATTTGACCTCCTTTGGACTCACCTGGAACTGTGGGAAACAGATGGACATGAATCATTTATTGTTAAAGCACCACACTCAACTGAACATCTTCTGAAGTGATTCCATAGCTTATTCAATCTTTGGTTTCTTAATATACTAACCAGCAGATATAGATCTCCATATTACAGGCATGATACATGAGTAATTGAAATGATATGAAAAACAATAGGATATCCTCGGAAAGCCACTCTTTATTAAATATTTTTACATTATTCTTTCTCCTTAAGTACTCTTAAGGATGCCTAGCCTATTTTCCATAAACCAGATTTTCAGATATGAGCCCTACCAGTAGGTTCACAATGCCAGTGTAATAGAACTTATATTCAGCGCTGAAATTTTTCCATTTTCAACCTCATGTTCGAGAATGCTTCAGCATTAGGAATGTTACTTTTGAAGGACAAATCTATATTATTCCCTATTGTTTTTTTAGGGGATCCATCTGCAGTAATTGTATAGAAGCTCAGAATATCTTTCAGACATCTAGTCTCTTGTCAAAGAAAAACAATTTCTAATATTTCTTTAAGATATGGGGAACACAGTGGTAAGAGCCTGTTTGTCCTGGTTCCAACTGAGGAACCCAACTGAGTAAGCACCGATGAGACGATCCAATCTCTTTATGCAAAACTTTATTGAGCACATCACTTTGGCATGAATGAAAGCAAAACCAACTCTGAATATTTCCCGCTCAAACCACTATAATCAAAATATAGAATCCTCTCTCCCCTTATTAAGTGTAAGTCACATTGTCCAATCACATCTCGAAATATTGTTATGGGAAAGTGTCTCTGTGAGTTGGCAACACCTGTTGAAACATCCTTGGTTCCCACAGCTTGATTTTTTGTTGTTAGGAACCTGCATTCTACTTCTCTCTCTCCTCCCCCTAGCAAGCTGAGAAGCAGTAATGGTGGCAATTATCATGCAAGCGCTTCAAGCTTGACACTGTTCTTGTTTCCTAGTCTGTATATGGCATTAATAGTAGCCAAAATTATGACAGCTATCAAGCCAAAGCCCTTATATTTATGACTTCTGACAACTAGCTTCTGAGAAAATATAATATCCTGGTTCCCCTCTTCAGTTCTAGATCACAAGCATGGAACAATAGGACAAATGTGTCTCCTGAACTTCAGCACATATAATGGAAGGTGAGAATGAAACTGCTGCCATTGTACCCATACTCAGCTATAGATAAACAGCCATTTCCTTATCAGAAGGTATCGACTACAATAAGATCCCAAATTGCATGGATGTGTCTATCTGTAAACCTTCAATGTCAGAAACTATATATGTAGGGCTAGGGGATGTAATCCTGTTTATTTTCCTTAGATTCTTGCGTTCCCATGACTTCCTCAGTATGGACAAACCTGCTTGGGAAAAAATTAAGGGGATCTTAATTTAAAATCTTCAGAAGAACAAGGAGCATTTCCAAACACCCAGTATACTTTCAAAGAAACAGAAAACATTTCTCAATTTGATTTTTTCATGGGTTTGGAGACAGTAAGAAGATATCTCATATCACCTAGTTTTAAACGGATAATGGATATTTTATAGATAAAATGTATGATTCATACTCTATTTTTGGATGTTAAAGTCTGAAAAATTATGATATTTCTATGCTTTTGGTACGTTTTCTCCATAATTCTTGGGAACAGATTTAGAAAGTTTGCTTAAATATTTAAATGAAATAAAAAAATCAACACTAGTGTGATATATATGTATAATTTATGGTATGGAATGAATAAATAATCTGAACTGCCTTTTCATTGATTCTTGACAAGGAAGATAAAAGATATATTTCTAAGTAGATATTTAGATGGTTAAACTCTCTGAAATCTTTGAATCCTAGACTTTAAAATGATATCTCACATTACACTCCACATCAGATTGTTAACACTTCGATAACAATTAATGTTGCAAATGATGACAACAAAAATTGAATTAATTTTTTAAAATTTTTAATTAAATTTCACATCACACAGATGATTCTGTGTGTTTCTAAATCCAAAGGATTATTTAAGGTAAAAGATAGAAATTAAATATTTTTAGGCCTAGTATATGACATAATGCAATGTATAACAAATAATCTGATATTGTATTTTCAATGATATCGTTATCTGTGATTATTTGTTATCAATTTGTTTATAAATATTTAAAATATAAAATTAAAAATAGAGTGCATAGAAATATAAAAAAAACAACCATATGTGAATAAATAATAAATTAAAAAATTATGCAGTAAAATAATGTTAAGGAACAAAACAACTATGAAATAGATGACTTAAAAGGTCTTGTTGAAAAGAATGCTATAATAAGATAATATGAATTTGGAAACACTGGAAGAGTTTAAAACTATAAAAATAACTGTTACAGAACTATTCTGAATTTAGCATTGCTCCTGAAATCAGGCAGAGTGTCAATTAAAGCTTATTATTGGCCGCCTCAGGTCAACTTTCAGCTCAAATTAATTATCCTTCGATGGGAAAATAAATGCCTCTAACTGTCTAAAATAGTTTTCAAACCTCAGGACACAAATTATTATATTGCTTGATGTTCCTTTTTGTAAGTTCATTTTATACTATTTCTGGTTGGCTTATGACTGTTTTAGATACCTATTCTAGAATTAAAACCTTATTTTCTTAAAAAAGGGATTTATACCCAAACTGCACACTGATCGCAGAACATTTATCTTTTTATCTAACAGTCTAACAAACAAGAACTCATCCCAAGGTGATAATCCTGTCTGAACAGTTGTCTCAAGGGTTATAGCAGGGGTCTTCAAACTTAGCCGCTTGAAGACTTGTGGACTTCAATTCCCAGAATTCCTCAGCCAGCCATCTGATAAAGATTGCTCTCTGCATCGACAGGGGAGGCCTGTAGATGGTAGCAGAGACCAATTGCTAGAGTGCAGACTGTCCCATTACTATTTGCCAAACAGTAGAATAAAAGGAATACTGTGAAACAGCATTGCTTGAAGATCCCGGAAGGCTTTATTTACCTCTACTGGATCAAACATCCTCTTTCTCTTGATGCTCGTTCAACAGAGCATGGGAAGGAATATGTCAGCCCTGGAGCTGGCATGGGAGCAATGTGAAATAAGACTTTAATAGGCCAAACAGGGAAGAGAAGAGTGGGAGAATAATGAGATGTCACTCTCACATGTATCTTCTGCTCTGGCTGTGCCAGGCTAGACATAAGTGTTCCAACATGTTTTATACATCTGACTCTTAAATTTTAGACTTTTTTAAAAAAAATCTCTATTTCCTTTTTTAAAAAATCAAAATCAAGCACTGGGTTATTTGCAAATATTAATACAGATAGTCCTCAACTTACAGGCTCAATTGAGCCCAAAATTTCTGTTGCCAAACAAGACAGTTGTTAAGTGAGTTTTGCCCCGTTTTACAGCCTTTCTTGCCACAGTTGTTAAGAAAACCACTGCAGTAGTTAAATTAATAACTGTCATGGTTCGGCAGATGAAACTCTTCAAAGAACTTCCAGGCATTGTTTACCTTAAAGAATCTTTATTCAAGAAGCATAACATCGGCACTAACAAAGCCAAAAACTGAATCCCCCCCCCCTTGAGCACATAATATCAAAGCACAATTCCCTCCTCCAATTAACAGTTGTAAATCACATTGCCCAATTAGTTTAAAGCCCGGGCTTTCCCTCCAGCTCTCCAGCCCGCCAATTCTTATCATCTCTTATTTCAACAACCTTGTTATGGTATTGCAACTGGCAAAGCTTTGTCTCTACACTTTAATATTTTGTCAAGATCTGTTATAGTCTTTCTCCTACGTAGCAAATATCTATTTCATGGCTTCAGACATCAACCTTGTTTTTGAGCCTAAGAAGCTAAAACCAATTATTGCTTCACTGTCTCCAGTTGATGTTTTTATTGGGTTGCATTGTCCACTGCCCTATTTTTAGTTTTTTCTTTAATACTGAATATCAAACTGGCTTTTGCATTTATTTCTTTCACTTTCGACAAGATGTCCTTTAAGTCTTCTTTGCTTCTAGGCCAACTCTGTATGTATGTATATATATATATATATGTTTTCTGAGGTTTTCGCGGGTGTTTGTATTGAGGTCTTTGGTTGTTCGGGTTTTCTCCCGCGTAAAATTGGAAGTGTCTTGGCGACGTTTCGACGAAGTCCCATTCGTCATCTTCAGGCTGGTGTTTTCAGCTTGCTGCTCGAAGCATGAAGCTGAAAACACCAGCTTGAAGATGACGAATGGGATTTCGTCGAAACGTCGCCAAGACACTTCCAATTTTACGTGGGAGAAAACCCGAATAACCAAAGATCTACACATATATATGTATATATATATATGTATCTTCCAGTGATTTTAATTCCAATTTCTATTTCTTCAGGTCCAGCATTTTTCAAGCTATACTCGTCTATCAGTGAAATAAATAAGGAGACAGCACACCACACCAATTTTCTAATTTTGAACCTTTGGTGCTCCATATTCCATTCTAACTGTTGCTTTCTGGCTTCATACACACTGTTCAGTAGACATAGTACCACATGTTTTAAATGTTTATCCATAATTTATTAGTCTATAAAGTCAAAACCCTTTTTATAATCAATAAAGCAAAAACAGATGTCTTCTTGGAACCCCATTGTCTATTTCATTATCCATCGGATGTTAGTAATGCAATGTTGGGTGTGCCTGCTTCTTCCGATTCCAGAATGGACATCTGGTAGTTCTCCTGCCATATTTTGTTGAAGTCTGGACTATAACATCTTGAGCATTATTCTACTAGCATGGGAGATAACTGCAGTTGTTCTTTAGCACTCCCTTTTTCAGTCAGTTGAAATATAAATTGACGTTTTCCAGCCCCTTGGCCACAACAGTGCTTTCCAGACATGCTTATAAAGTGCATTTAGTACTTTAGCTGCATCATCTTGTAAAATTTTAAACAGTTCTGCCAGTATTTCACCAACTTCTATAGATTGTCATGATCATGGTTTCCTAGAACCCTGTCAACT